TTTTAGGACTTATCTAGCAATGTATGACAAATATTAATCTCTCATCAGACCTATGATCTTCAAATATTTCATCCTGTTTTAGAAGTTACCTCTGTTGAAATTTGGACCGTTTTCAATCTCCATTTTCATGAGGGTGCCCTGCCCCCTCCAGCCACACTGGCACGGGCACTCTCAGTTTTCTTGCATTGCTGGTGGGTGTGGAAAACAGTTAAAATGTTCTAGAATACAAGTAGTCATTTTCTAAAGTATCTAAATGTACCTGTGTTCCATAGGAAAGAAAGTCTTACTGTACGTGAAAGAAAATGTTCACCGAAAAAATTGTCCAAGATAGTTCAGAGCTATGTCAGTGAGAAACTGGAGGTAGCTGAACAGTTAGATCTCAAAACCAGGACAAACCTCTAAGACGCCTACTCAGTATCTAAGTAGACTCTGGCCACCAGGCTCTCCCAGCATCCCTCGGTCCCTACCTGTTACAGGATCTTCCTGGCTGGCATATCTCATCTCCTACCCTGAACTCTCCAGCACAGGGGCTGGGCTGCCCTTCCCCAGGAGGTTCTTCTCCATATAATCCAACCATTTTGGCTTCACGGTCCTATTTATCCTTTTCGGTTCTTTGTGGCCACTTTTGGTCTCTCTCCTGGCTTCTTGGTCTCCTGGCTCTCCCCCTTCCTCTACCTCATCCCTCACATGGCCTTGCTCAGTTTGGCCATGCTCACTCTGGACCCCCCCAGATGTCTCTGTCCCTGGGTCAGGCTGTTTGCTCAATAAACCTTATCACTTCCTCCACCACGTACCTAGGAGCAGCCATGTCCTCCTTTTCAATATGTTATTGGCTATCTCCTAAGAACATAGAACTAATCACACATGTAAAGAGTCGGAGTTCTTCCCGTCTTGCGCTGGCTGGGAATAGTGAATATGAGATTCGCGTATTTAATGTATACTAAACAGCCACACACAGAATGTATTTCGCGTGGTTAATGTACCCTCAACAGCCAGCCACGCTTGGAGATCTGGATGTGACTGCTTTCTCTCCCAACAGAGGAATGGCACTCTTTGTATAGCGTTAAGATTTCGGATCACCATGACACTGTGAAATTAGAACGCATCGCAAAGTGTTTTTAAATAATAAAACTGGAGGGGGAAGATTCTAAAACGGGAGAATGTAATGCAATTAAATGCTAACACTTTGCGATGCATCATGATCCCTTCTTTTGTGACAACCTTTTTTTTTTTAAATGCCCTTATGGCCTTCTTTTTTTTTTAATTTATCCATTTATTATGTATACAACACTCTATCTGTGTGTATGACTGCAGGCCAGAAGAGGGCACCAGGCCTCATCACAGATGGCTGTGAGCCACCATGTGGTTGCTGGGAATTGAACTCAGGACCCTTGGAAGAGCAGGCAATGCCCTCGACCTCTGAGCCATCTCTCCAGTCCCCTTGTGACAACTTTTTACACCCGTTTATATGCAAACATAAAGCATACATTAGTAAGACAGAGTCGTTTAGATAAACATACAGAAACGGGGAGCTAATGGGCTTTGTGGGCCCTCTAAGTGTTGTGCACTGTCCCAGGCATCTCAATATAATGAGATTGGTCCACCATATGCATATGGACCACTACCTAAGAGCCAGCCAATCAGGTAAAGATGGACTTGAGAAGAGATACCTTGTTCATGGCCACAGGTCTATAAATAGTAATTCACATCCTCTCTGAAAAATGTTTTTTAGAGAGGAAGGGCTTGGTTTAGGAGGTAATAAGGCCGGAGCTTATGAAGACTTGCAGCTTCCATCACGGCGACGGGTTTTCTGCTGTGCCTCTCTGTACGATCCACCCGAGACTTTCTGACTTGGTAGAGCTTCCCATGAGTATAGGCAGCACATTGCCCGTGAAGTGGCGGGGAAATGGGGATGGCACTGAGCTACCTGATCCTTATTTGGGAGCTGAACGAATGGGTAGGACTCCCGTGGCTCCCCGGCTTCTTCAGGCTGGCTGTAAAAGTTAATGAACACATTCATGATGACTCATTTCCTCTCTGATGATGGTAGGGTTTACTTTCATATCAACATAGATGAATGTTGTACATCTTGCTTGCCTCAATATTCATGGTCAATATTTCTGTCAAGAACAAAAGAACAAAGTCTAAGGCCATAAAAACGTGTACCCTATAAAGGCAGGAGCGGGGATTGTTTTATTTTGTTTTGAGATGGGGTCTCATGGAGCCCAGGTGGGCCTCAAACTGTCCATGTATCCAAAGTTAACCTTGAACTCCTGGCCTTCCTGATTCCACCTCCCAGAGCTGGGAGTTTTTACCATGCACCACCATGACCCCTTTAGAGCTACACCATGCTGAGCATTAAACCCAGGACTCTGTGCACATGAGACAAGCATTCTACGGACAAAGCTACAACTCCAGCCTGAGTATGCTAACTGTTTAAAAAGTAATGAGTAAGGCAGGCAGTGGTGATGCACGCCTTTAATCCCAGCACTTGGGAGGCAGGGGGAGGTGGCTCTCAGAGGTCATGGCCAGCTTGGTCTACACAGTGAGTTCCAGGACAGCCAGGGCTACACAGAGAAACCTGGTCTTGAAAAAACAAAAACGAAAACAAAGCCCATGCTGTTTGCTTAGGATTTAGAATCAGAAAACAATTAAGACTTCTCCTCCTTTCATACAGCCATTTCCACACTTCAGATCTACAAATCTCTCCCAAGCCCCCTTTCATTTTTTTTTAATTCTCTAAAACACAGCATTCTTTGATCTCTTTCTCTCTTTAGCTGCTCCATCACGCACTGCCTTGCAGCTCTGCTTCTGTCTTGCTAAGGTTCTTGCTGATATAATATTTACATATAAACCATGATAGCAACAATACTCCTGAAAGGCTTCTAGCAGGATCAGACAGTCTGGCAGAAATGGTTCAGTAGTTAAAGTCGGTACCAAGTGAGTCCCTGACACTCCAAAGCTGGATTCAGTTTGTCTTTGATTTCGAATGAAGAAACAAGTGCTGTGGGACAATGGATTGACCCTTTAAAGATTCCTTTCTTGTACTTGTTTAATAAAATGCTAATTGGCCAGTAGCCAGGCAGGAAGTATAGGTGGGACGAGCAGGCAGGGAGTAGAGGCGGGGCAATGAGAACAGGAGAATTCTGGGAAGAGGAAAGATTCAGTCTGCAGTCATCACCCAGATGTAGAAAAGGCAGATGAGAATGCCTTGCTGATGAAGGTACCAAGCCACACGGCTAACACAGACAAGAATAATGAGTTAAGATGTGGGATGTAAGAACTAGTCAATAATAAGCCTGAGCTACTAGGCCAACCGGTTTATAATTAATGTAGACCTCTGTGTATTTATTTGGGACTGAACTGCTGCGGTATTGGGCAGGACAGAAATCTCAGTCAACAAACAAGAGCCACTACCCATCTCAAAATGGGAGTTTGCTGGTCTTGCAAGTTGAAGACGAGGAGGTCGCTGTCATTCAAACATCAACCAGGAAAATGGAGTCAGAAAATCATGCTGTAGGAATGACAAGACAACCTCCAGATGACAGCCTCCTTACTACAATGTACCCCAGCTGTTAGTGGAGACTGCTGCATGGAGGTTTAAGTAAACTCAGCTCAAATCCAAGCTCAACAGTTTTGCCCCAACCCCCTCCCCACATGGTTCCCGTGAGTCCTCAGGACTTACCTGAGTAGTGTATCTGCCTCTAATCTTCCCGTGAACAGAAACACTCTCTTTGTTCTGTAGAAAACTTCCTCCCACCTTCTTGGTCTGTGCTGTTGGGCATAGCAGCCCCTAGAGACGCATAGCTATTAAACATAAAAATTTGTGGGGCTGGGGATGTAGCTTTTGGTAGAGTACTTGCCTACATGAGGCTCTGGGTTCAATCTCCAGAACTGCATAAAACCAGACATGGTATTGAATGCACTTGGGAGACAGAGACAGAGGAATCAAAAGTTCAAGGTCATCCTCAGCTATAAATTGAGTTTGAGGCCGGCTTGGGATACATGAGATCTTGCTCAAAAAAAAAAAAAAAAAAAAAAAAAGAAACTTCACTATTTTCAAAGTTTAATATTCAATTTTCTTATTAGTCTCTTTCCAATTTGACTGATGAACATTTTTGGTCAATTGTCCCGCGCTACCGTCTCGCCAGCAAGAACGACGCGGCACACTCAGGATCCTTCTGCAGAAAAGCTTTAATGCATCTTGAGAGGGAGAGCATAAGCTTACAGAGCGAAGACCCCAGGGGAAGAAAACCCAGCCCTTAAATAGGTTAATGGTCCTCGCCTAGGACGTGTCATTCCCTGACTGGCTGCAGCTCGTCAGCCCTTATGACGCCACGGGAGAGGCAGAGAGTTAGGGATGGAAATTTACCACGCACGTGCGCGCTAACTTACTTATCGGTTTGGCGCTAATGAATGCAGGCGCCATCCTGTAATGGAGTATGTGGCTCCCCACAGTCAATGGCTCCCCATGAACAACACAGGTTGAAGGGGGCCCATGAGCATAGCAAAGTCTGTCCAGTAGTCAGACTGATATATCATGAATTGATGAGAGTTCACCTAGTGTTTGGGTCAAAGGGGGAAAGATATTGTTTCATCAAAAATGCACTGTGAACCAGTTCCTTTTCTTTCTCTTCTTTTGGTGTTGCGATTGACCCAGGCTCTTACATGGTGTTGATGACAGACCTGGGCTTTTACATGGTGTTGGTGATTGACTTGGGCTCTTACATTGGGTTGATTGACCCAGGCTCTTACATGGTGTTGGTGATTGACCCAGGCTTTTACATGGTGTTGGTGACTGAACCAGGCTCTCACACAGTCTTGGGAATTGAACCAACAAGCTCAGCCAGTGTTCTGCCACAGAGCTAGCCTGATCTAAGCACAGTTGATCACATGCCTCTTTTCAGAAGTGTGTCCACCATGATCGTGATGTAGCAACGCATGCGTTTCAGTTTGGGAGAGACTTTCTAGAGGCCCAATTGAATCGCGACCCTGACAAGGCAAGAGGCTTCCAGTGGGCTTCAAGGGTAAGATCTCCCAACAGAGGAAACAAACATCTCTTGTTAGAAAGTAAATGTTTCCAAAAGGAATTGTTAAGTGATGCTTTTCTCTGTGGGGCTAAAAAAATGGTATGGGGTTGACCTTGTGGCAAAGTCTCTTTCAGGAGTGGCTGGTCACACCAGTGAATACACTTTGCTGGAAATGGGCTCACACACGGGAGAGACGTTCCCATGGGAGTGGGCCGGAAATGCATCAAGAAAACAGGCAGAAAGAGGCACTTTAAACAAGCACAGACACACGAGCTGATCAGGAGGTGCAGTCCCTGTCAGAGGCAAGAATAGGAACACTGTCCAACAGGAAGCTGTGGAAGGGGCAGGGAGATAGCTCGGTTGTAAAGGGCTTGCTTGCTGTGCAAGCACAAAGACCTGCATTTGACCCCAGATCCCAAGTCAGAAGCCAGATGTGGGGAGGGCAGGCAGATCCTAAGAAATGCCACCTGAGCTTGACCTCCGGTCTCTGTCTGCACACACACACACACACACACACACACACACACACACACACACGAGTATCTTCCTGGGCCCTTTCACCTGGTTCCTACATCTACACCCCCAGGTCTTTGTGTTTGATTGCATTCCGTGTTTATTGAATTAGCTGAGTAGTTCGTCTATAAACATGACCAAATAAGGAGAGAGAAAGAGGGGTGTTACGAGCAGGAGTGGCCTGAAAACTGGCATGGCGGCTTGCGGGCAAACAGGCACAAGGTGGTGGTGGAGCAGTGTGCCGGTGCAGGAAGCAGGCATGCCAGGGAGGCTGAGAGATGGAGAGTTTGAACAGTCACCCCCAAAGTCTGGGGGAATATGGGAGTCCATGGCAATTTTCTTTTTCCTGAAATGATTTTTACTTTAAAATTTTTAATTTTACATATGAGTGTTTTGCCTGCTGATATGTACGTGGGTGAACCACGTGTGTGCTTGCTGCTTGTGGTGGTCAGAAGTAGGGTGTCCGATCTCCTAGGACTGGAGTCGCAGGCAATTGGGAACCATGCTGGGAATCAAACCTGGGTTCTCTAAAAGAGCAGCCAGTGCTCTTAACAGCTGAGCCCCCTCTCCAGCTCCATCAAGTGTCATCCTCATCAGGTTTATAGTATCAGGAATTCTGAGAATACATACCCTCAAATATTTGTGTGTATGTGATGGGTGTGGTGGGAGTGGGGGGAGGTGCTGATGTGGCGGCCAGAGGTCCACGTCAGCTCTTCTTCTCAATGGCTTGCCTCCTGATTTCCTGAGTCAGGCTCTCTCTTTGAGCCCTAGCTGGCCAGGGAGGCCCTGCGATCCACCTGTTTTACCTCCCTCTGAAATCACAGGCACCTGGCACTACACCTAGCCTGTGGGGTAAACTGAGGTTGGGTTCTCATGCTGTGTAGCCCACACGTTACCCACTGAACCATTGCCATGACCTTCAAATGGCTATTCTCCAATAAAGCCTAAATTTAATCAACACTGAACGTTGGCAGACTCAGCCTCAGATCAACTCTCCTAACTTTGGTGGATATTGTCTGCTTGCTACGTTGGCTCCTATTCATATTGAAAATAATGTACTGCTAATCTTCCCAAACATAATCATAATTACTCATTACACGCGACACTTATTCCTCTCTGTCAAATAGCGTATCAAATTCTTTGCTTCTGGAATCTTTTCCCCACCCAAAGACAGACTTTAACAATAATTTCAATGATTCTGTTGATTACTTTAAGTTCTTATAATTTAAATTTCATTATTTTGTATTTACCCTTATGACTGCCTTCTATGGAAAGCCAATGCCCTGCACCTACAGTTGAATTTGAAGTTCATTTCCTAAAGCTGTCTTCACCATCCTGGTGCCATTTGGACTCTTGTGTTCTTTTCTTTTTGTGTTATTTTCTTCATTCATTTTTAAAATTAAAATAGAATTACATAATTTCCCCCCTTCCCTTTCCATCCACCAACCACTCCCGTGTATACCCTCCTGTTATGTCCTCTTGAATCATGGCCTCTTTTTCTTTTTTCTTCCATCTTTTTTTTCCCCACCCCTGCACTCCCCGGTCTCTTTTTCTTTAGTTGAGGTTGCTAGTGTGTGTGTGTGTGTGTGTGTGTGTGTGTGTGTGTGTATACAAACTGCTCAGTCTATCTAGTGTTGTCTGTATGGATTTATACAGGCAATCATGGCTGACTATTTGGTATTGGATAACAAGTTGGCAGCCTCATCTCTGTGGAGGACTATTTAGCCCTCTCTCAGTAGTAAACTTTTATTTTACTTTATACATGGGTTTTGCCTGTATGTATGTCTATATACTACATGTGCGAAGCACACAGAGGTCCACAGAAGGTGTCAGATCACCTGAAACTCAAGTTGCATGCCATTGTGGGACTCTATGTGAGCGCTGGGACTTGAACCCAGGTCCTCGACAGCACAGCCAGAGCTTTGAAAAGCAGAGCCATCTCTCTAGTGCTCCATTCTGATTTGTGATTCTTCACAAGTAATTTGTGCACTTGGGTTCTCACTTTCTACATGTTATGTTTGGTGTGTTTGTAAGCAAAGTATTTTTTAGATCATTCCTTCTTCGTAGTCAAGGGAACTTTTAAATTTCGATGTTTTTCTGATCCCTTATATTCTCTGTAAAACAGAGTCTCATCCAGCGCAAACTGATCTAGAACTCGGCTATGGAGCTTCTGACCCATCTGTCTTCATCTCCTGGGTGTTGGGACCACAAATCCGTGACACCACTTCTGCTTTTATGTGTTTCTGCAGACCAAATCCAGGCCTTAGTGTCTGCTTGACAAGAATTCTATCAATTGAACTTCATCCCTCACCCAACTGCCGTGTAGCTCAGGCTGACCCGGGACTCGTTATGGAGCCCAGCCTATCTGCAAACTACAGCCCTACCTCAGTCTCCGAGTTCTGGGACTGAGTGTGTACCAGCCTCCATGTCAGGCCATGTTCCCTTTTATTCTTATGATGTGGGCTCTATTGGTGCCTTTGTTTGCTGCTGACCAATGGGGGCTCTGGTGAGAATCCAGTTGCTCACAGTCACAGGAACTCACAAGTTCTGACACTCCTTTTGTCATCTGAAGACTTAGAAATAGTGGCATGCCCTCCAGGGCAAGAGTCAAGGCAGGGTGGCGTCAAGAGTCTGGCGTGGAGAAGATCTACCTACCCACAATATTTCCTAAAACTTGTCTGTGTTTCTTCTTCTGCATCGGGCCGTTGGGACTAGCAAGCCTTGGGGGTGGCATCTGTTGTACAGTGTGGCAGTGCCTTCCCTGTCCAGCTTTCTAAAGAGGAAAAGAATTGTATATTAAACAGGTAAGCTCACTCAGTAATACCCTCCTCCATATTCAGATTAGGAGAGCACGGCTCCCAGAGATTCAATATATGACCAGCGCTTTATTTATTTATTTTTTTGTATTTTCCAAGTAGTCCAGGCTATCCTGGAACTCAATATGTAGACCAGGATGTCCTCAAACTCACAGAGATCCACCTGTCTCTGCTGGGATTAAAGGCGTGCACCACCCCTGCCCAGCTAATGATGGTGCTGTATCGTAAGAGAGGAACAGAACTCCACCTGAACCAGCCAAACCCATGCCTTCTTCCTTGAGCATCATCAGAGGGTACCAGCCGCCGGAAGAGGTAAGCTGAGACCCCTTGGTTTCTCAGGCCCTATCATGATTTTACACACAGGTTGGAAAAGCCCAATGACAGAGGCAAAGTAGCATCTAGAAAGCAGCCTAGGCTTAAAGTAGAGAAGCCCTGGCTTCCCTACGATTCCCAGTCAGTTACATTAGCCAAGGCACGCCTCTGCAGCAAGATTTGAGCATCACTGCAGCCCTTTTCAGACACAATGGTCCTTACAGAGCTAACTCTGTAATTTGAGATGAGCAATCTCTGGCACCCACAACACAAATCAATCCCTTACCCTCTTCACAGAAAAGCAAACCTACTGTCCTTTCTAAATAGCTCATCTTTTTCAAAAACAATTAGGAATTCAGCAAAGAAATCTGTATTGGAATGAGGAAGCCAGAATTCTCCACACACCACAGACAAGTCTTGAGAACCCTCAGGTCACTGCTTTCTTGGTATTAGGTTTTTAAACTTTTTCTAAGGATCACTTTTATTATTGTTAATTGTAAACAGGTATGTGTGTCTGTGTGTGGGTGTATGCACATGAGGGTAGCTGCCTGTGGAGACCAGAGGCCTCAGGTTCCCTGGAACTGTAGTTACAGATGGGTGTGAGCTGCCTGACACGGATGCCAAGAACTGATCCAGGTCTCTGGGAAAACAGCTGTTGCTCTCTGGGCCCCCACAACTGGACTTCTTAACTGTGCATGGGAGAAGCCAGTCCTACATTGCCCACAGGGCATTTGATGATGTAGGAAAGAATTTGATATGAGATATTTTATCAGTGTAAGATATATATATATATATATATATATATATATATATATATATATATATTATTTGCCTGCGTCTAAACAGATTTCAGTGTCTTCAATTCCACAGGAGAAAGGCAAACAGGGGTCTGAGGACCTTGATGCATGCTGGGAGGTGGGAATGGCCTGGGGGAGAAGAGCCTATGTGGTCTTCAGTTGAAACCTAAAGCCAAATCTACCCTGCAAGGATAGATATCTAACCCTTCAGAGTGGAACATCTTTCCAGGAAAGAAAGGAAGACAGAGGTCACCTCCAATACGAAGAGTCAAAAAAAAGAGAAAAAAAAATACAAAACAGAACCAAGCACAATTAACTGAAGAATTGCGAGAGGAAAAGGGCCGTTCTCAGACTACAGGATACTGTTAATTTAATAGCGTGGACATAAACGATTTTGTTTGCACACAGGGAGAGGTCCTGCTCTCAGCTAGACAAAGCCCAGTGTGTGTCCACTCGACAGTGATCACGCAAACAGTCCTTTTTTTATGTAGATAAGGGTAATTATTAGTAAACAACGCTATTGCCTCGTGACTTCAACAGGTCATCACATCCTGAGGCAAGAGGTATAAAGACACAGGAACCTGGGACCACTCTTGCTGAAGAAGACAGAGTTCTCAGAGTCTGGTTGCAACGAGGTAATCCTCCCGGTGGTGGGGACAGAGGGCTTTCTGTGAACACCTGTTTTTCTCTGCCAGCTACCTGTGGATCAGAAATTACAAGATACATCTCTGTTGCTTCTGCTGGGGTGTTTGTTATTAGCGCTGTTTTGATTTAAATTGTTCATTTTTAACACCGTCATGAATATTAACTGTTGTGTGGGTGTTTGCACATGCGCGGAAGGCTAGCATTAGGGTACAACTCTGGAGTTCTCTCCTTCTATCTTTACGTGGGCCCAGGGATGGGACTCAGGTCTCCAGGCTTACACAGCAAACATCTTTCCCGCTGCTCCTGGTCCGCAGCCCCAAGTTGTTTTCTTTCTGCTCTTACTGAAAGAGAGTTAGTTGGCTTTGGTGGCCAGCAGTGTTGGGTTCTGTGGTGGCTCTGTGGATGGGTAGTTGTGAAACTCAGGGAAAGTTCCAGAATACAATGAATGGCAGTTGGTTTATCAGCAACATTGCGGACACTCGCAGTACAGTGTGGTTATGGCGGTCAAAGGAGACGACAGGTTTTACCAGACGCCTCAAATCCTGGCCTGACCGTTGAATTCCAGCTAGGTTTCCGGACTTTGAAATCCCACCGTACTTTAGAAAGGAAAGTCCAGCAAAGAAGTCCAAAGTCCATGAGATAATTTTAAAAACTAAAAGCAAATAGAACATGAGGGGTGCCCTCTCTGTTACTGCCAGACCCAAATGCTCATGGGGGCTGAGGATTAGAGTTTCCAGTAGTCTCCAGTTTAGATGCCCTATTGCATTGGCCCCCAAGCCATCAATTATTTGAGATTTTGTTATTTGGATTTTGATCGGAAAGCATGGTTAAATGAGAATTCAATGAATTCTTCATTTTCATAGTTATTTCTGAAAAACTACTAAGGCTTAGAATTGTCCTAAAGTGTTGATAAGATTAGAAGGGGCTGTGGGTGCCTATTTTAACTTTACGGCAATATGGTGGCTACTGTTTCTTGTAGACATTCCAAAGATTATAGAGAATACTGTGCATATAACAAAGGCATTTTTAAAACTTGAACATTATTGCTGTTAAGAGGCTGCCGAAAGATCCGGTGAAGTCTGTGGCTCAGCTCTTGTTGGATGAGCTAAGTAAGGGGCAGGGGCTACTGCAAGGAAGCAAAAGGAAGTGAAGTTTTTGGGCCTCCTGTTGGCCCCTACAGTTGAAGTCTGTGGTCCTTTGGAATTATATATATATATATATATATATATATATATATATATTATCATATATATAATCATGCTATATATATCATATATATATATATATATGAAAAGTATGAACTGAAAAATGCTTTTAGGACCCCAATGGGAAGCAAAAAATATATTTAAAAAACATTCTTGTCAATCATCAAAAAATAACAACAAAATAGAAAAGTATAAAAACTATAAGCTGATAATTCACATAAGAATTTTCAAAAATCATATATAAAAGATGCTGTGTTTCACTCACAGCTTTTAGGTACGAGAAAACATATTTTTTAAACATCAAACTTAAGTGTTTTCCATGAGATAAGAGGGCAACAGTCTTGAATTCTACCAATAGGATGGGTAGGCCAGCCTTCCAGAAGAGAGGGGCTTCAAAGTGACAACGGACTTACTCTGGGTGCAGCAGAGCGTGAGTTCATGCCAAACAGAAGAGAAACCAAACAAAGAACCATGGCTGCAGGAGCATCCTCTGTGGCTGGTCTGTGTCTGAGAGGCAGCCAGGTTACGAGGCAGTGTGATTTGATTTATGCGAACCTATACATGGGGGCCTAGGACGGTGTCTGGAGGCCCTTCACCGAACTGCTTATCTCTGGGAGATGGGCTTACATTTTAATGATTTGTGGGTTTTTTGATAATGAAAGGGGAGACTAGCAAAGCTTTTTTCTTTCTTTTTTTTCTTTTAACATGATGTCAGCAGGGTTCAAGAGTCCGATCTAGTTACAGTTGCTGGTGACACAGAGCAAGTAGCCTAGTCCTTGTAAACTTTCTTATCTGTGACAGTATTTGGGCCATCTGTTTTCTTTATCTTCAACATTATAAATAAAAACTCTCAGTATTGGAACCCCTTTATTACATTTCCTGGACTTCAGAGGTCTATTACCCCTGTGAGGAAGTGTGCCCATGTCGCCCTCTGCTGACTATCCCAGAAATAACAACACAGGTACTCCACCTGGTTCACAGACTCTCAGATTGCTAAGCACTTCTTCCTGCTGTAATTAGGGCTCTGACATTGGTCCAGAGGGGCTTGAAGGTAAGACTAAATCCTCATCAACTAAATGCTCCTTATCCCTATGTCAATCTTGGGATTATCTTCATTGTAAAATTGGAAATATTTCGATGTGGTATCTAAACTCCAGCATCCTTCTCACTGGTCTGCTGCAGGTCTAGGAGACACCAGAGTCTTTAAGAGAAAACTGACAAGTGTTCTGAGGGTCTTGAAATCAAAACATCGAAGTATTGTCCCCAGTGAAAGAGGAAGATGGCTTCCAAATGCGTTCGGCTGCTCCTGCTGCTGAGCTTTGTAACCGGCCCCGAAGTCATGAGTGGTGAGTTCAGTCACGTATTGAAAGACAGTCACAGCCAAAAAGCACACAGGGCACACATCACACCATCTGCTCACACCCTCAGGCATTTCAGGAAAGAAGTATCTCGAAGAGGGAAAACTAATGAGACCTGTCAATGGGTCTACAGTCAAACAGGGGTGCCCAAGGTGGTTGTAAGCCATACTTAATTCGTGGGCTGCAGAATAAATTTTGCAAGTTTGTGGTGAATGATAGAGAGCCTGTCTAAAGAAGCTGACAGGCATCAGACGGTCTGTAACTGACAGTTCTAATCACAGCATCCATACCCTTATGTGCTGTTCTCTTATTTGAGCCTATTGCAAGGTCCAGTTTACCAGGGACCTGCAAGCCTAGTTGCAGAGATGGTTATTTTACACTCACAGACCAATCATCAAGGACAGGGAGTGTGCCAGTGACTGTACAGGATCTAGAGTAGAGAAAATAGGGCAGGGAAAGTATCAGTGTGCTGAGAAAAAAATACCGTGGAAGTCTGAACTGGAAAGAGTTAAAAAGTGGGCTCATCTAATGTAATGGTTTTGTTGGATCTATGAGTAAAATGAGGGCAGAGAAAGACATATTTGTCAAAAGTCACACTGCCAGACTATGTGGTGCTCTGGCCAGCTCCTCTTCTTGGATGTCTCCCATAGTCCTCCATAGCCTCGCTGGGAGTTGGAGGTGGCAGTGTAAGAATTATTTGCTTGAGCATCGTCTCTGTTGAGAAAAGAGGTCGCTAAAAGATCCAGTGATGCCTAAAACTCCTTGAGTGGGCTTGCTCAAGGGGAGGAACTAAAACAAGGTACTATCAAGAGAAATAGTGCTTTCTGAGTCATCAGTTGAAGGCTGTGCTCCTCGCCATAACCTACCCTTGACATGGCTGTGTATGGTACTCTCTGCCCCCAACCCCATCCCTGCCTCCAGCCATCAATTCTCTCACCATTTATGGCTGCTCAGGACCCATGAATTCAACCACCATTTCTGCTCCCTTGCAAGAATGTTCAGAATGCCGGGAGCTGCCCCCAGTCACTGCTGAGCTGCCTTCTAGCCATTTCTATACTGGTTTCAGGGCTGTCCTGACCTCTGGCCTCCCGTAAGGACTTGACATTTACCTTGACTGTATTCTGGAGAATAAGATAAGACTCTCCAGTTCGTTTCCCAGGACTTCACTAATCTCTCCGGTTCTCTCCCCAGGAGGAGATAGAGCCGAAGCATATACCATGGGTCCTCCCATGGCTCTTTTCCAGACAGATCTTCCTCCCAGCTGGAGAAAAACTTGGTGTTGATTGTTACATTCCTGAGAACCATGCTTAAGACAGATCCCATATATTCTGTGCACAGCAGCGTATGGGAAAGTCTAACCTTGCTTGCATTTAAAGGTGATGTGGAGAACTGAGAAATTGGTTTTCTCTTTCAGCAGAGGCTGATGGCCAAGATCAGAGCTCTGTTGTCCCCACAGTGGTCCCTTGCCCTGGCCTGTGGCTGCCTGTGGCTCAATGAGGAGAAACAGAAACACTTAGAGACAATGGGAACTGCATCTGGTTAACGTTTTCAGTAATGTTCCACCTCGTTATCGCAATAATGGTGATGCGTTTTAAAAGCTATAATTCTAGCTGAGTCTCGTGATGCGTGCCTGGAATTCTGGTTACTCAGGAGAACAGTGCAGAATGACCTCAGAGCCCTGGTATGCCTTGGCTACACAGAGTTCAAGGCCAGTCTTGGGAGCTTAAGCAGACCCCGTCTCCGGTTTTAAAAAACAGAAAAGGCACGGGTTAGGGTGTAGCTCTACATACCCATCCCGGTATCATGTAAGAGAGCTAGAGTTCTAGCCAGCTGTCATGTATTCAACCACTGCTGTATGCTAGGCAGAATGCTAACCCTTGTGTGTGCATTTTGTGTGCGTTATCCCACTAACCCTCCAGGCAACCCTGTGGGGAAGTATGTGTTGTTAGTTCATTGTGCGGGCAAAAGACCAGAGTTATAGGATGCTGAGAGAGTAGAACTAGAGATGTGGAGCCTGGGTGCCAGGACCCGTTCCTTCTGGTCACTCCAGGACACTCTTGGTAGAGATGTGAAGGGTCCTGGGCTGCTGAGGAAACAGTGGCTCGCCCAGGTTCCACTACACTCCTGGCTGGTAGCCATTGCCATCTCTCCAGGAGAGTCTGGCTGTTAAACAAGGCAGCCTGCACAAATGGGAGTGGCTTGCAGTTTTTTGTTTGTTTTAACGTAGCTTGAGCTTGACTAAAGACGGCTGCAACCTCAACTCAGTGCCGTCTAGGGCACATCTTCACTCTGTCCGCTGTGGGAGTGTGAGGCGCAGCAACTTCCTTCTGCTTTTGTTTTCTCTTCTGAGACATGGTGGTGATGTCAGAAACTACTTAGCGGGGGGCGGGGTGGGTTGTAGAGTATTAATAAGACTGCCCAAAGCAAGACCTGGTACCAAGGAATGCTGGGTAAATGTGTGGTACTGTGGAAGGTACTACAGCGCAGGCCTCGAAAGCATTTTTTAGCAACTGAGATGTGCCCACCAGGGGGCGCATTCGGTAGCTGCAAGAAGGCTGGGCTATGGTAAGAAAGACGAAGAAGAGCAGAGGGGAGGGGAGAATGCCAGGCAGAGGGGCAGAGTGGCATGCGCAAAGGCACGGAGAAAAGCAAGAGAGATGAATCGAAAAGACAGAATCGATGGACACAAGACACAGAGAAGCAGAGAATCCGGTGGGAGAGGCAGAGCATTGAGTGCCTGGCTGGAGGCATCCTGATCTTAGGTTTCTATGCTCTGACTCCCCTCTGGATCCTCTGCTTGTGGCCCAATATGGCTGTTCTCTTGAGCTCAAGTCGGAGGAAGCGAGTGTCATGGTGGAGGGGGGCCTTTCCCGTGTGTTTGCCCCCAGAATATCAAGCCAAGTCCCTTCGGGTCACGTGACCTGTGCTGGAGCACAGTGTCTTGCTGGGCTCTGGTTCTTACGCTCCGCTGCAGGTGCCGCTACACGGTTATCCAGGTGACCAGCCCCCAGATCCTCGCACTTAGAGCTGGAGAGTTTTGCCTTCTGTTGCCTCTCTTCCTGAACATTCTCACCAGCCTTAGGTCAGAAGGTCCGCTTCCTGTATTAGTCACTTTTCTCATTGCCGCGATCAGAGGCCCGAGGAGAAGCAGCTCTGGGAAGGAAGCGGTTTTTTTTGGAGTACAGTTTGAAAGACACCGTCCACAGCCATGGAGAAGGTGTGGTGGCAGGGGAAAAAGAGAGCTGACAAGAAATGGGCTGGGCCACACTAGGGACCCGCTTCCTCGGTGAGGCTGCACGTGCAAAAGTTCTGCAGCCTTTTTTTTTTTAAAAATGCCACCAGCAGGGGGAGCAAGCACACAGATATATGAGCCTAAGGGAGACAGTTCACTGGTTTGAAAACTATTAAGCTTTCTCAGTGCTGCTTTGTTAAAGCCTTCACTTGAGCCCGTTTTACTATCAATTTTTTCCTAACAGTTACCAATGATCAGCCTTGTCCCAGCTTGGGTTACCGTTGTTGTGATAAAACACCACCATCAAAAGCAAGTTAGGAAGGAAACGGTTTCTTTGGCTTACACTTCCACATCATGGTCTATCATCAAAGGAAGTGAGGACAGGAACTCCAAGAGGGCGGGAACCTGGAGGCAGGAGCTGATGCAGAGGCCACAGAGGGGTGCTGCTTATAGACTTGCTCCACCCAGCTCGCTCCGCCTGCTTTCCTAGAGATCTGCAAAAGCAGCAGCCCTGGAATGGCACCACCCACAGTGGGCTGGGCCGTCCCACATAAATCACTAATTAAGAAAGTGTTTGCCTACAGCCCAATCTTAAAGGGGCATTTTCTCAACTGAGGCTCCCCGCTCTCTGATGACTCTAGCCTGTGCCAAGGTGACATAAAACTAGACCGCACAAAGCACAAATCTCTTTAAAAAGCTTTGGTTTACAAAGCCAGCACTTTCACGCCCAGTTTCTAGAATCTAAAGCAAAACAACGAAGTTTTGATTTCTTCAGGGATTTGGGGCACGCCTATAATCCTAGCACTAGAGAGGCTGAAGTTGGAGTTCAACCTGGGCTACATAGCCAGACATTCTTTCAAATAACATTTATTTATTTATTTATTTATTTATTTATTTTGGATTTTTCGAGACAGGGTTTCTCTGTGGCTTTGGAGCCTGTCCTGGAACTAGCTCTGTAGACCAGGCTGGTCTCAAACTCACAGAGATCCGCCTGCCTCTGCCTCCCGAGTGCTGGGATTAAAGGCGTGCGCCACCACCGCCTGGCAAATAACATTTTTTTTTTCAAGAAAAAGAAAAAAAATATTCAGTTTCAGGTTCAAAAATTAAGATTTCCTTTGTTTTTAAAATTGTTGTATAAAACAATTGTGGTTTCTCCACTCTGTAATCATTTGTTACAAAGTTCCTACTTTCTCATTTTACTTGAGGTGTTCCAAATCCAAAAACTGTCTCGTCATCATACTGAGTTTTGACATCACAATCTATAACTGTCTTTTGTTTCTGTACAGCTGTCTGGAGACCCAGCTGTCCTGCAGGATGGTTTTATTACAGTTCCCACTGCTATGGATACTTCCGGAAGATGGGAAGTTGGTCTCAGGCTGAGGTGAGAAGTGTGAGCTGCTGATTTCTTGGAGAACAAGGGACCAGCTAGAACTACAGATTGTATTTGACTTAAAGTCAAGGGTTCTTCCTGGGACCCCAGGAGAAGCCTCGTGGTTAAAACGAAGAGGGATGTGCTCAACTCCTTCAATTTTGTGAACATTGATGGTATAGGTACTATGTGCTAAGACCCTCAGCGGGCTGCATGGTGTTAAGAAGCAGCCATGACACTCAGAAAGCTAGACAGACACAGCTCAAAGGAACATCAAGGGTCAAGGAGCTTGTGCAAAGAATAACTGAATTCCTCTATGAGACTTACCAGAGAGAGTGATACAGAAATGCCTGAAACAGGTCTCAGGGACACCAGGCAGAAAGCCAAGAATCAGAAATGGGGGGTGTCCCCACTTGACACAACCCACACATGCCTGGATTTTGTCTTTCCAACTATGTGTAAGACATTTACAAATATCCAAGTAGCCAGTCCAAGTAAGCGGAGAATTACTATTGTCATCTCTCCAGCTTGTGGCTGATTGACACACATGAGGCTATGTGGTATGACCCAGCCCAGCGTGGTCTCAAGCGCCCTTCCTGTGTGTAACTCAGTAGAAAAAGGAACAAGGCTGGCGTCCCAACCATGTGGCAGCTGCTGAGGATCAAGCAGTTTCCTCTAGCAGTTTCCTCTGACTTCTGAAACTGAGAGAAGGGAGCATGGTGGAACATATCTACAACCCCAGCTCTTGGGAGCCGAGAGTTTGAGGCCAGCCTTGGCTACAGAGGGAGATCTTCCCTCAACAGACAGGTGACGTGTGAAATCAATGTGTGGTTGTGACGTTTAAACAGAAAATTTCTTTGCAGTGTAAACAAAAATGATTTCCTTTTGATTAGACCAAGAGAAGTAGCAATGAAAATTCAGGGAATGAAATGTCTTATTGAGTGGAGGCCTGCATAACCGGGGGCATAGAGAGAGCGAGAGGAAAGATCGAGCGAGCAAGAGGTGGGGAGAAGAGAGAGCGAGACAACCCCAGATTCTGTAACTATGATTCAACTGTGCCTCGGAGAGGTAAAGTGACTTATGAAGGCCACTGGGACCTCAGGCACTTCTCTGGTGCTAAATCTCCTGCCCGGGCCTTGAGCTTTTGCTTCCTCTGAGACCTGGCACTGTGGTCTTCTGTCTTCTATAGTGACAGAAATCACTAGTGGGTTTAGATCTCAGTGTCGGGGGAAGGGAACCATCCTTGTTGGTTCACTAGGGCTCCAAGGAGAGGGTTGTGTGCTCGTGACATCTTTAATGGGACCTCTTCTTGCAGGAGGAGTGTCAGAATTACGGAAGTGAGTCCCACCTGGCAACTGTCTCGAATCTAAAGGAAGCCAGAGTCATAGCAAAGTACATACTTGGCTATCAGAGAAACCTGCCTGTGTGGATTGGCCTGCATGACCCACAGAAGGTAAGCCCATGGTTGGCTCACAGAGCCTCTTGGGAAATCCAGGATGACAATCCTTCCATGAGAAGTGACCTTCTGGCCTACAAATAGGACTCAAGTAGTAGCCCTGTGGCCAAGCACCTCCAGTGGCTCAGGCTGAGGCCCCAAGGTCAGGGACCCTTTCTTTCCCTCAGTGGGAGAAATAATTCAAAGAGTTCCATTCTTTGGAACTTTTAATTAAGGTCCTTCTTGATCTTCAGATGCAAAAGTACCAATTTTACAGAGGCTTCAGAGAGAGAGAGAGAGAGAGAGAGAGAGAGAGAAAGAGAAGGGGGAGGAAAAGCAGGCAAGCCTATCTAGAAGATTCAGAGTAATTTATTTGCCTTTGGTCTTAATTAAAGGTAAAAACTTTCAACTAACCTTTTTTCTGAGATTCTGTCACATTTTTTTAGTCATTCTTAATTCTCTCTGCACCCCTTTTGACCTCTCCATCAGTACTTGACTATGAGAAGTACCACAGGGTATCTGTATTTATGCATTTGGGGTGGGGTGTTTATACCCAACTGAAATAGGGGCATAGGCAGGGAAACCCTGCTTTCCGTTTCTAATGACATAGCTGGAGACACCAGAGCTCATAGACCTTATTCCGTGAACACGGAGTCACCCTCTGGCACTGGCCTATGACTCACAGTGTGCTTAGTCTTTTGAGTATTGCAGAAAAACAAGTGATTTTTTTGTGTGTGTGTTATAACTGTTATACAGTTATTTGTTTTAAATGGTGTTTATTTGAGTTGCACAATTTTTTAACTTTTAAATATTTTTTATATTTTTACTTTCCACGTGTGAGCATGTATCTACATGTTTGTATGTTCCTGGTACCTGGGGAGGCCAGAAGAAGATAATGGGGTGCCCCAGAATGGGGTATCACAGTTGTGAACTGCCATGGAGGTGCTGAGAACCAAGCCTGGGTTCTCAATAAAAGCAACAAGCACTTTTAACAGCTGAACTTCTTCACTCTTTGAGACAGAGTCTCACTATGCAGCCTTGGCTGCCCTGGAACTTGCTACATAGACCAGGCTGGCCCCAATTTCACAGAGATCTTCCTGCCTCTGCATCCCCAGTGCTAGGATTAAAGGCATAGTACCACACCTGGCCAAATTTTTCATTTTTTATGTATTTACTTTGTTGTCTATTAGAACTCTGCCTTCAGAGATAAGCTATATATTTACATCTATTTCTGTGAGATTTTTATAGTTTGATTTTTTTACATGTGTGAATGTGAGACACAAGTGTTCTAACACTGTTCTCTATCTCCAATAATCAAGAAAATGCAAACTAAAATTATATAATTTGACTTAGATTATCAATATTTTTCTTTGTATCATGACTACTATCTTGAGGATGCAGAGAAAGGGACCTGGCACCCAGTCAGTGAGCATGGAAATTTGTACAAGTGGGCAGTTTGGGAAAGTACCGTGTCGATGGGGATTGATAACCTCAAAACAATCACATTATTTGACCCATTAGTTCTGTTTCTGGAATAGATTATAAGGAAATAATTTTGAGGACACAGAGTGAGTCTCAACAAAATTAGTCGTAGCAGTGCTTTTCATAGTAATTGGAAACAATACACTCAGTCGTCAACACAAGATTGTTAAGGTAGACTATTGTACATCCTTGTGTTGAAGGGGGGGGTTTGGAAAGCCACAGGAAAGACTCAAATAAATGTTTTAAAGAGGACAGTATTTTTTAGTACATTGATAACCATGTTTCTATCAGAAGTAAATATGCTAAAACATTAGTGATGTTTTCCTCTGTGACTTCCATAATTTTGGTTCTTCATATATTTCTATCCTTTGCCCCATGAAACCCGATCTCACCGGGCTGAGGGCCTGCTGTGTCTGTGGGAGTGGGAGCTGCCTGGGTTACACACTCCCTCTATTTCCTGTCATTGCAGAAGCAGTCATGGCAATGGATTGACGGGTCTATAGACCAGTACATACCCTGGAATTACAGGACAAAGAGTGAAGCCAGGCACTGTGCTGCGCTGAACCCCAAGGACAGTAAGTTCCCTGCACCTCTTCCCTTTCTCCAAGCTGCAACTCTGTCCTTGAACCTGTTAAGAGCGAAAGGGGCATGCTTGGCCTCCTCCCATCGCCTCTTTCACTAAGCAGTACTGCCTCACAGGACGGTGGCCTCAACACACAGTCTATGAACCTCCAGTCGCCTGTACCCACTCTGCCGTCTTTGCTAAAGCCAGTGAAGGACATTTTTTTTTTTAACATCAATGGAAGGGGCCATGAGGTGACAGACTATGACAAAGACATGAGAGGTAAAAGCTGGAGAAGGGAATCTCTTAGGCCAGCAGAGCCCACACTGCTGCTACAAAAGACAAGTTAGCCAGAACACAGGCAAAATGATAGGTAAGAGCTACTAAAACAAGGTTGCCCACCCAAACTGAGAGAAAGCTGTGGTGAGTTAGTGCCACCCAAACCCACCATGGTGCGACCCCAGGAAGCAGCGAGAAGCCCCCCACTAAAGTCATCCAAACTAAAGCTAGGCATTTTATTTCATTGTAGTAGAAACTGTGTTAGAAGAGAGACTCGGAGTCACAAGGATCAATGGGAGAACATTCCAAGAGGACATATTTCAGGGACTCACACACCTATCGTATGAGGCCCTCCATGTCTGCCTTTTAGTCAGTTCAATTTTGGGGAAGCAGTTGACCAGATGTTTCCCGAGACCCTTTGCGTCCCCACTGGATAAAGTGGTTCTGTGCTTCTCACTGGACAATGTTCTTAGGGTCTCTCCTGTAGGTAGAGTCCCACACTGAAGGAGCCTGTGGCGTATCTGTAAGAAGGGGGAGCCTGGGTCTTTTGGTCCCATCCACCCATCTGGTTTCACTTCAGTTCACAGCAATCAGAACACAGGCTTCAGACACAAAGAAAGCCAAAGGAGGGGGCTGAGGAGGGGACTGGGGCAGGGGGGAGGGGGAGGAAAGGCAGTGTGTTTGCTGTGCTGGTGTAAAGACCTGAGTCTGAATCTCCAGAACCCACATAAGCTGGACAAGGTAGTGTGTACATGTAATCTCAGCACTTGGACAGGAAGACGGGGGTGGGATGGAGACAGGAGAATTCCCCGGAAGCTCACAGGTCAGTCACACGTGGAGGTGGGGGTCAGGGGAGAACATAAAACTGGGTCTTTAATTAAAAACTCAGGGAAAGGGGCAAGGCTAGTGAAAAGCTGGTGAAGGGTAGACCTTAGAGGGGAAAACTTCATGAGCCCCCACCCTAGTGCTATTTATGTCTGTAGAATGGATTTTACCTATACACACTCAGGCACGAACTCTGCTCTCTGTGGCAGCGCTTGTTCTTGCTTCCTTTCTATTTAGGAAGAACTTCTAGGTGTTTTGTCCCCGCTGTCCCTCTGTCATTTCCTTGGGACTCTCCACTCTGCACCAGAACTGTTTTTGACCCACTATGTCACTTTGGGACTCCACACTAGAATAGGCCTACAATCCCAGTACTTGGAAGGCTGAGGCAGGAGGCTCGTCTAGTTCAAGACCAGCCTGGACTACAGAGGAAATTCAAGGCCAGCCTGGGCAATGTAGTGAGACCTGTGCTATAACAGAAAACAAGAAAAGAGCCGCGAGTATGGTCATCTAGAGCAGTTGGTAGTGTATTCGTGGGCCTGGGTTCAGGCGTCAGCGCTGCAAGAGAAAAGAAGGAAAAAAGACAAGTTATGTTCAGTCTGCCCTGGGGTCAAGGGCAGGAACTCTGTATTCTGGGTGACCTTGTATATAGCATCTTCATCTTACTGAACTGCCTAGCCTGGTGCGGACTTCTTCCTTCTCTGCACCCCAGATATCTCCTTATGAAAGGGAGAGAGTCGTCGTAATAGTCATTCAGTGCCTTCATGGATAGGCTGGGCTCACTGTCCAGGTTTGGTGTGCTCATCCCCCCCATTCCCACTAAACACTCCCTTTAGTGTTGTGGGAGGGAGGCAGACAGGAGGAGATTAGAATGGGTACCAATCTAGGTGGGCACCATGGGTAATCTGCTCTTGGTCACCCAACTCTTCAATTCCATCTCTTCTCTGGGCTCAGTGGATGTCCCAGAGGACCCTACACAGCCACATATCCAGTCAGTCAACCTGAGTTTCGCAGGGCAGATTCCAGGCTATCAGGCTTGCGCGCACACTCTTGGTTCCGAACTTGAAATCCCTCAGCAGGCTTGTAGTCCCCATGTCATGTTCTGGTGCTCCAACTACAGGCCCTTTGATTTAGGACACAGGCACAGCTACCCTCTGTGTCTCAAGTATGGAAAGCACACATAGGTGACAGGGTCAGACCTGCAGGTCAAGACCCAAGCCAACACCAGCTAGGGGGAAACTCAGCATCCTGCTACATTCTCTCCGGGATCTCAAGGACTGAGGAATTCTATTTTGAGGACAGAAATAGTTGGGCCTCTCCTAGAAATATATATATTTCAGTCCCCCAAAGGTCCCCAGTCTCTGGCCCAGCCCTTCTTTCTAAGTGGGTGACCTGCGATTCGTTACAATGGCTTTAACGGGTCTTTGAAATTCACCCTAGAGCATCTCAGAGCTTGGCTGTGGAGTCTCCCAGGGCTTTGACACAATTTCTAACACAAAGGAGCGGCTGAGGGATGGCTCAGCTGTTGTCTTAGCTAGGGTTTCTCCTGCTCTGGTGAAGCACCGTGGGCAATAGCATGCTGGGGAGGGAAGGGTTATTCAGTTTATATTTCCACTGCATGGTTCATCATCAAGGGAAGTCAGGACAGGAACTCAAGCAGAGCTAGAACCCGGAGCTAGGGGTTGATGCAGAGGCCATGGAGGGATGCTGTTTACTGGCTTGTTCGGCATGACTTGCTCAGCCTATTCTCTTATAGCAGGACCACGAGCCCAGGGATGGTCCCACCCACAGTGGGCGGATCCTTTCTCATGAATCGCTAGGAAAACGTACTATAGGCTTGTTTATGGAGACATTTTTTCAGTTGGGGCTCCCTCTTCTCTGATGACTCTTGCATATGTCAAGTTGACATAAACCAGTGAGTACAGCTGTTGAAAACAGCTGCTGCTCCTCTAGAGGATAGGAGTTGGAGTCCCAGCACTCACACTGGGCAGGTCACAACCTCTTGTAACTCCAGCTCCAAGGGATCTGAAGCCCTTCTGTGGCCTCTGCAGGCACACACACACACACACACACAAAATGATAAATCTTAAAAAAACCATAACTGTCGGACGGTGGTGGCGCACGCCTTTAATCCCAGCACTCGGGAGGCAGAGGCAGGTGGATCCCTGTGAGTTCGAGGTCAGCCTGGTCTACAAGAGCTAGTTCCAGGATAGCTAGGGCTGTTACACAGAGAAACCCTGTCTCAAAAAAAACCAAAACAAACAAAAACCCGACCACCACCAGCAGCAACCAATAAACTAAGCACACATAAAGGGAGCCTTCCCTGGGTCTGTGCCAGGTGCTGCTTCCTCCTGAGTGCCGGAGTAGAGCTTGTACAACCTGCAGTGATCTGAGAAAGTTGGTGTTTGCGTTAGTCAGGGATCCCCAGAGAACCAGTAACGGGAGGTGGAGATTCCTGGGGGTGGAGAGGGGGCCAGGAAATTACTGCAAGAGCTGATGTGGTAAAACTAAATTCAAAATAATTAAAGGGAAAAATCTTCTGCTCCAGGAAGCCCTTGGTCTGGGCTCCTTTACTCAATGTCTTTTGATTTGAGTGTCAACGATATCGATGAAATACCCACAGAGCAATATTTAGAGAGCTAGGGGCCTAGCACTTGCTGGACATCTGGACGAAACAATACCTTACCCTACCCGTGTTGGCACCTGAAATAACCACTACCGGCCCTTGTCCAGGGCTCCAAGAAGAACACACAGACAGTTCTGGCAGATTCGGTACTGAGCTAGCTTGGCTTAAATGTCTGTTGATTTTCTTACAGGCTTTTTAAGCTGGAACAAAAACGGATGCAGCGAGCGCCAACACTTCCTATGCAAGTACAGGCCATAGAGCAAGAATCAAGCGCCTGCCAGCCGTGCACAAGCTCCTTCTTCCTCCCTCTCACCTGGCGGCTGATATAATCCTTATCCCCCAGAGGAGACACAGCAGCAAACACTGATGAGGCCTCCAGCACACTGATTATCAGGCTCAGAGAGCTAAGCATGGTGGGACAGGGGCTTAGCATGGTGGAACAGGGGCTTCTAGCCTCAAAGCTTAGCATGGTGGGACAGGGGCTTTCAGCCTCAGAGCTTAGCATGGTGGGACAGGGGCTTCCAGCCTCAGAGCTTAGCATGGTGGAACAGGGGCTTCTAGCCTCAAAGCTTAGCATGGTGGGACAGGGGCTTCCAGCCTCGGAGCTTAGCATGGTGGGACAGGGGCTTCTGGTCTCAGAGCTTAGCATGGTGGGACAGTGGCTTCCAGTCTCAGGGATTGGCAAGGAGGTACAGTGGCTTCTGGTCTCAGTGTTCACTCTGGAATCCTTTCTAATCCTCCTCTTCCCTTTGGCTGCCTCAAACAAATCGAAATGTACTCACTGACCACTGGGTCTTTGTCATACAAGTAAAGTTTGGAGCCAAAAAACCAAATGGTCACGAGTGAGCTTCTGTCCCCTTCAGTCCCTGTAACCTCCGACCTCCCTCTGTTACCCATACATGTCCCTGTACTTTGCTGTTATCTGTCCTCTTGCCATGGAATGTTCATCAGTGGAGTCCCTGCCAGTCTGAAGTGGACCCTGAATTATTCATTGAGTAGGTGGATTATTCATTGTGTGTGGGAGTCTGCTGAGTTCCACTGTAGTGGTGACAGGCATGGAAAGGTGAAATAAGTCTCAGAAACACTCCTGCATGGTTTTCCATCTTCCTCCTCCTCGCCCTGCCTCCTGCGTCCCCAGCAGCACTTGGTTTGAATAGAGAGGTAACCGGTGCACCTGCGAGGCTCAGAGTGAGCGGAGCAATGCTCAATTAAGAGTTCTTCTGGACCTCTGATGGAGGTAACAGTCACAAGTGGTGCGGTGGACTGACCTGGAGGCCCTGGAACTCACCTCTTCTCTGCCGCTAACAAACTCCGTGGCCTTCCTCATTTCTCTGTGCTCCGAGTTTAAGATTCCTTATTGCATGTCTGCTCCACTAATAAGGAGGTAACCAAATTATAGAGCATATACATCCTCATCCCCCAGGTCATGAGTCTGCATGGCAGTACAAGAACATAGGATTTGCTGACTGTTTAGAAGATCACTCACTTTGGTACGATCCTGACCTTGTCTAATAGAAGGGAAAGTGTCCAGGAAGAAAGTCTATGTGACATGGCCGGGCAATCAGGTGGACAGCCACTTGCTTTCTCCTTGTGACATGGCCAAGCAGTGAACACAGTTTGCTGCGCTGTTCTGACAATGGCCCTTTATCCCCAGAGCCATCAGGGGCTAACTGCAGGAAACCTGAAGGAAGGGTTAGCGAGGAAAGAGGTAACCAATGGACCCCTTCTTTCTGAGGCCCAAGAGGAAAACAGCCATCATGTATTACTCTAATGGGGCCTGTCAACCTGTAAATAAATCATACTAGTGAGATTTCAGAGGAGGTGACAGGCAGGTACAGAAGGACCGTTTTCACTGAAAGGGCAGCCACCCACTCCAAAGAGGGATCCAGACAGATCTCTGCCCAGGAAGTGAAAGCATCAGATTCCTGGATAGAGAAGGTCGATGAACTGAGGGTGCAGGCTGAGGGGTGCCACGTAGAACCCAGGCTCCAGACGCTGCAGGAAGAACTGGAACGTGGACAGGTCACAGGGAGACTTGTCCTTTCACAAGGCAAGGCCTTGTTGTTTATGGAATGAGGCGCAGGATAAAGGAAAGAACCTGCCCTGTGTCCGCTTTCTCTCCAAGTTCATTTACACCCCCACCCCAGCAACAGAGAGATAAAATAACAATCCAGATAGTAACTGATGAAAGTCTATTTTAGAAGCACTGGGAAAGCTCTTAAAATGGGCTTGAAGTAGTTCCTTGTGGGGGTCACTGCTATATATATATATATATATATATACACACTTTATTTTATGTGCATTGGTATGAAGGTGTCAGATCCCCTGGAACTGAATCTTCACACAGTTGTGAGCTGCCTTGTGGGTGCTGGGAATTGAACCCGGGTCCTCTGGAAGAACAGTCAGAGCTCTTAACCACTGAGCCATCTCTCCAGCCCCATCACTGCTGTTTTGGGGGCAGTCTTTGTGGATGACAAAGCCCCCGTCCTGAAATTGCTGCGATGCTGAAAACTGGAGTACCCTCACGCATACATAGTAGGCATCCTTCCACATGGACGGATGGCTTCCACCTTGTTAGAAGGGAGGCTGATTCACAGCTCACTCTAGAGCTCTGCTGCCCTTCCCTTATGCACACAAAACGTCAGCAGTCCTTAGAAATCCAGTTGCGGGTGGCATACCACAAATCTCCCAGAGTGCATCCTGGGTACCAGGAGTTGATGCTGGAGCCTGGGAAGCCATCAATAAGCAAAGTTGATGATTGTCTTGCCATTATGGTTTGTGCCTTTCAGCAAGGCTGGGCGGTGGAAGGAGACAGAAAAGTAAACCAAATAAAAGAAATAGTCTTGAAGTGGTGGCAAGTGCCATGGGGGAGGGTAAGACTGACCAGGAGCAGGGTGGGGTGGGGTAGGTCGGGTGGGAAGGGTGGGGTAGTAGGAGGGAAGGATGGCTCAGGGTGTAGGGCATCACGTATTTCTTATCCATTGCAACTGATAGCCAGACTTTCCCAAATAAAAATAAGAATTTATTGATTTATGATATGTAATAATTCATAAAAAATTGGATTGAGGTATAACTGAACCAATGGCTATTGGTAGTCCCAGGATGGGGTTTTCTCTTCATTTTATGGCTGGGAACTAGCCTCGTTAATTAGCTTCATCTCATAAGCTAGCTATAACGACTCCAGCTTTGACCCACACAGGAAAAGGCTCACAGACCTCACGCAAAAGCCTCCAACTGAAGCCTTATTGGCTCAAAATAGCCTGGTGTGAGTTAGGTGCTCACCAAAGGCTCACGTGCTGAAAGCCTGGCTCCCACCAGCAGACTTAATAACTAATTCAGTCAGTAAGGGTGATTCCTTGACATTTGACAGCAATGTGGGGGAAGTAAGGGTTAGCTGCAAGTAGGTCCCTGGAGGAAGGCTTTGGAGTGTCTTGTCCCTTGTCCCCACCCTCTGCTTCCTGCCACCATGAAGCGAGCATCTTGCTTCTCCATCACTTCCTACCGTGATGCTCTGGCCCACCTTGGCTCAGAAGCAGAGAGCCTGACAACCCCACACAGATGCCTCTTTGTCAGGAACAGCAGGAAACCCATTAAGATGATTTTTGTTAGGTTTTTTGTTTCAGTGATCTGAAGACAAAGAACTGACTAATACACTATGAACCCTTAAATGGGTTGGCTCCTTCATGAAGTTGGAGCCCTCATGGTCCACAGCCCAAAGGACCCATTTCAGAACACAACTGCCGTCAGGACGAAGCCTTCAACAGTATGCATGAGTGCTGTGAGTAGGATTCAAATCCGAACAGGCACAGCTGAGCATTCATTCAGAAACACCAGTGTGTGCTTAGTGTCTGAGAGGTGTTTGTGATCGCTGAGTTAAAATGTGCGGTGGAGACTGAGATAGGCCTGAGGACTCTTCCAGAAGCCCTGTGTGTCCAGGTTAAATGTGGACGAATATCAGTGTGACCTAGGGCTAGATTTCTCCGTAGTCAGAAAGCACAAGCCGTCTAAGAGAAACACTGATTAATTTGGCTTCAACTTTTAATATTTTTGTGTGTATGTGTACAGGTGTGTGCACTCATGTGTATGCAGGTACGTTTATGTAGGTTCGCACAGCACACACGTGTGTACATAGATGTGGGCAACTTAGGGTGTCACTCCTCCAGAGCTGTCTGCCTTGTATTACTGTCGCTATTGTTTTCTGTTTGTTTGTTTGTTCTGTTTTGTTTTTGAGACAGTATCTCACCGTGTAGCCTTGACTGTCCTGGAACTCACTATGTAGACCAGGCTGGACTTAAACTCATAGAGACCCACCTGCTTTGTGCCCCAAGTCCTAGGACGCAAAGGATGTGTCTGTCACTATGCTACGCCTCCAGTTTTAAGACAGACTCTCCCACTGGGACCTGCAGCTCGCTGACTAGGCTAGGGTGACGTGCGCCATGCTCCAGGGACCCATCTCTCTCTGCCTTCCCACAAGTTTACATCACCACACCCTTTCTTCACGTGGATGACAAGCATCAAATTTGGCTTCTTACATTTGCACAGCGGGCATTTCATTGACTGCGCAGTTGCCATCAAATTCAATACTTTGCCCCTAAATATATACTGTTGGAGATGGAGGAGAGATGCTGAAGAATGGGAAACCAGGTGAATTTCAAGCTCGTCACATCTGTATGCAGCATCCCTCAGCTTTCCCTGAACCAGACGGCGTTCCCACTCCCACCCCACCCATCTCCATCGGCTCTTCTTTTTATAACGATAAGCACTCATTTTAGACAAACTACAAAGGCATTTAACCCTTTGGGTGCTTCAAACCTCCCCAGTGAATAGACATACCTGTCCTCCAACTCACCACGGCTTCTAACATAAAGTCCTAGAAAAACGGTTTCAAAATTTATTTTTTATTTATTTTTACTTTTTACTTTTTTTTAAAAAAAAAGATTTATTTATTATGTATACTGTTCTGCCTACATGTACGCTGGCAGACCAGAAGAGGGCACCAGATCACATGAGCCTGTGCACCTGTAGCTGCACAGGCCCGCAAATTCCAGCAGAGGGCGTCAGATCCTCCGGAGGTGGACTGAAAGGCAGTTGTCAGCAGCCTGACTCGGTGTTAGGAGACAGACCTGGGTCCTCTGCAAGAGGAGTATGTACTCTTGACTACTGAGCCATTTTTCCAGAACCCTCCAGAACTCTCTTGCTTGTTAGAAGAGTTCCGGTTAGGTGACTATCCTTCCGCCAGGGGCCTGTCCTGTATCTACTAGCCTCTTTTCTTCTAACTTGTAGAGCACATGGCCTCTGCCCAGTCTCGTTACCATGTTAAATATGTGTTATCTCAGTGTCTGTCTTCCAGACTTCATTTTCTCTACTGGCTTGATATGGATAAGTGAAGCGATTCGATAAAAGGCAATAAGGACTTTAACACTCAGATCCATTCCTTTCAACTAGGCTCAGCCAAACAGCTAAGTCTGCTGGCCTTTGCCCACGGGGACAAGCTGATAACCCTGGAACGCGACTCACTCTTTGTCCAACTTGTGTCTGAATCACGTAGTTCTCTAAGTCAGGGTCAGCCTCTGAGGGCACTGGGACTTCTACAAAGAATAACAGGGAACGCAAAAATAAAAGAGTGTGCATAGCAATGGTGGGTCAGGGTATCCTCCTGGAGGGTAGACCGGGTCTGCTGCAATCGGGACGGACAGCACTGGTGTATGAGCAAGCCTCAAAAATAGAGTTTATGACCAGGATCGATACCTGTCCTGCCGCCAGAGGGCCGCATGGAGACAGCTAGAAAGGAATCTGCAGGCGGAAGCCTAAATTTGTGAGTAAATTAAAACTAGAGCCTCTTTGGGTTCTAGGACCTATCTCCGCAGAAGAGCAAATATTGTCTGATTGCTTGTGTCCAGTGACAAATATTTTTGTCACATTGTGTCTATTTCTTTTATAAGTATGTGCTTGCGTACACAGGTTTTGGAGGTCAGAGGTCAAGGTCAGGCAACCTTCTTTGTTACTTGCCACCTTAATTTTTGTTGCAGGGTTTCCCAGTGAGCACACAGCTTGCCAACTTGTAGAGAGGCTGGCCAACGAGCCCTAGCATTCTCTTGCTTCTGCCTCCTCCGTGCTGGGATTGCTGGCACACTCAGCCATGACTGGGATCTGAACTCAGGTCCTAAGGTTTGAGTAGCAAGCACTTTATTCATCCGACCATCTCCCAATTTGTTAGGTTCCCAACCTCCAAACCCCTAAGTGCCTTTGAAACAGAAGGCTCTGTGACAGACACATTTATACTGGCATTCCTCTGGAACCTGTGAATCCGGTTTCTGCCTGCCAGGAAGAGCTGCTTCCCTTATCTTCTCCTATCTCTGGCTAAAGGGAGGTCTGGCTCCCTATTAGCGCACGGACTTGTAACACCCAACAAAGCACCATGCAGGCTCCCAGGCGGTTCTGGCTTGCACACTCCCCTCCCTTTAGCGGCCTGCTCTTTATAACAGGCATGGCGCTCCCCTGTCTTTGTTGCTGTCATTCCTGTCCCTGAGAGGTAGCCATTGTTGTTCCTTTTGGAGACTACAGCTCCCAGCATCCCCCTGGACTGGAAGCCGCACAGGTGCAGGGCATTTCTCCCAGACGCCCCTGTGTTCCCCGTTAAAAACAGGGGTCACCACGAGCTCTCTCTCTCTCTCTCTCTCTCTCTTTGTCTCTCTCTCTCCCTCTATCCTTTCGTCTCTTCACACCCGTCCCTCACCTGTTGTTACCGCCCCCCCATTAAAGTGCACCCACGTGGGACCGCAGCGTGTCTGTGTCTCCTTCCTAACCCCGCACTGCCATGCGTCTCGTATAACGTCTCCACTCTAACCCCACAGACAGACAAGGCCAATACAAAAAAGATAACAGCCATGGCAGCTTTAAACTCCCCAAATGCCTCTGGCTATTCTGTCTACACCCCCAGAGGCCTGTCACACTTTTGTATTTACAGTCAACCTTCTTCCCACCCACAGAGCTGACTAGTTTGGGGGTTGCTGTGTTCCCACACTATCCTGCCGAGAAAAAAATCATCCCGAGTTTAAAATTAGACAGCGAACAGGTCTAGACTATAGTAACCCACAAAGGTATGATATAGACATCCAATGAATTTTCATTAAGATGTACATTAGTATTTAAAATGGAATCCCCAAACACTAACAAGTAGATGTCATGGGAGCAA